TGTACCTGCACCAATACGATAAACAGCATGCACATGAAAGGCCACTATAAGCCTGACTGATACCATCCCCGTGTTACTTTTAGGTAATGAGGGACCCTGCGAGAGCCTCCGTAGCATTTTCCTTCCTCCCCGTTCCTCTCAGCAAGGCCCCAGAGAAGAGATAACAAGAAACAAAACAGTTGGCTGCCGTAACAAAGAGGCAGCAAAGCCTTTTATGCTTCCTTTAAATTGAATTTTTTCCACTGTCTCAGAAATCTTCCGTAAAGCTAAAGTCCTCTTTACAGTTAATAGATATTCCTCAGAAATGTGACATAGGCAGGCGGTGATTGTTAGGAATCTTTACTCAAAGGCCATCGTTGCTGGAGGATTATCCCACATTTAGGCATTTCGATTTAGTCACATCAAACCACTAAAACAGCCCTCCAAGCCAAACAACCACCCGGCTGCACATGTAAGCGGCTCCGTCTTTTTTTCTTTTTATTGTCTTCTCTCGTCTTTGATTTGTAAGAAAATATGAAAAGGCTGGCTGCTATCGCTTGATTGTTCTCGCTTTTCTTTCGTTCGAAGACAGTCGCAATTTCAAGCAGCTCCAGATGTATTATTTAGGTTTGGAAAAGAATAAGGTTTGAGAAACTATCCCATCCCAAACTTCGAAACACATTGTGCTTGTTGCCAGTGAAGCGGGAAGGGCTTCATAAGAAGCACACTGTAAGCTTAATGAAAATTGCTCTGAAAACAATGAGGCCAAGGCCTTCGCTGAGCTTGGTGGATGGGCTCGGGCATCGTTTTTCCGTCTAGCAGTTAGTTGGAAGTGGTTTTGCACACCCCATTAAACATGACGGAATGAAAGCACTCTTCTGCTGTGTTCATTTTCATAGGCAAGAGAGCGTATGTTGTGTCTACAGCAGTTGTGCCCTGCTTAACTCATTTTTGTGTTTTTGCATCCTCAAGTCAATGGTTTCTTTCCCTCTGTACCCCTAGAGTACTCAAATTTAGAGAGAAAAACACGTTTCCGTGCATGTTTGAGACACTTTCTGTCAGAGCTCTTTCATCCCCAGTTTTCTTTTGCATGTGATATGAAGAGATCAGCAGGTGGCAAACAACCCTTTGAATAAAGCTCATCAGTTTCAGAGATACAGACTGCTGTTATAAATGGCTTTGTGAATTCACAGGCATACATGTGCAACATTAACAGCCTGTAGAACTCATTATCTTTGATGCAATGGAAGTAGCTTATTCAAAAGTGGCATTAGCAGTTCTAGTTGAAATATTTCTTTAAAAAGGACAAAAAAGAAGAAGAAGAAGATGAAGAAGAAGACAAAACTCCTCATGGTTGTAAAAAGGGTAAATAAAATTGGTTGTGTGTTTGTTTAAAATAAACTGGGAAACAATAGTTAAAAAAAAATAAAAAAATAAAAAAATAAATATATATATATATATATAAAAGAACATGTGCATGATTCACAATAATATCCTTATTCTGTTTTCATAA